GTTGAAATATAAATGTCGTTGAATAATTGAAGAATAATTTAGATGTACTTGTTGCTTCAATCAACCATTAGCGTTCTGCAATCAGCTGCAATGTAGAAATGCTCAACCATTATTTGGAGCTGTTGATAATACAACTTGTATTTGCTATATGCCATCACATTATCCTTACAGTATTTGTACTCAGCACACAAGACTTACATATGATGATGAGGTTAGTCATTTTATCTTAATTCATAGATTGAAATATTACTTATCAATGAAATTTCACTTCACTGAATTCAAATATTTCAGTAAGGCAATTTTTAAATTGGTAACGATGCATTCTCCTACATTTCAATTGAATATTTTTTTGCACAGAACTTCTGTGATTTGAAATTATATCATCTGTTCAGCTCACTTTGTCGACTAGTACAAATATTGAATTACAAGGGCATTATCTCAAGTATCCCGTACATCAGTACAGAGATTCATCAACTATAACTAAATTTTATGGCATACAAATCACTCCCGCCTTGGCTGTTATCAGCATTTTAGGTTCTGTTTCAAAAATTAAAAAATAATATGTGTAAAGCAAAATGATAAATGTGGAATTTGATACAGTTGTACTTATTTTGTTTATATATATTCTTGCAAAAAAGTAACTTTAAAATCCATGAAGATTATACAGTCAACTTGTGAAACGGGTGGCAAAAGTATAAAAACGTAAAAAGTCTAACCAACGTAACATTCATGATTTTAAACGTAAACGGATATAAACACATGTGTTAGTGCTTGATCTTGAAACATGTGTTAGTGCTTGATCGAGAATCTTCTAGAAAGTGATAATTTTTCAAGGCATGTTAGGCATAATTATGCTGTTGACAACGATATTACTCGTTGCACGCGCTTGTCGAACACATCGTGAACATCACAATCGTGAAACGAAACGTGAATTGGCACAATCAATTTTGCTTGAACAACGAGCAGAAGATGAAAAATACCTACCATAGAAATATCTAAATCGAAAAGTACAATTTCAGTTTTTGTATTTATTTAGTAAAAAGTTAAAATCATAATTTTTCAGCTCTTGAGGGTAAATATCGTATAATATTGAGTTTATAAACATTAAATAAAGACTGTTTGATGATCGACTTTCTTTGTAAACTTTGATTCAAAAGTTATAAACTGATAATACTATTTAATTCCGATTAATGTCAAGAACAAAAATCTTTGTTTTGAAGTAGTACAAAACTCGAAAATATGCACGTGAAACTAGCAATAAAATGGATTGTGGTTGTTATCTGAGTATTTCACGCGTATTAGATATATGAACAACGTGAAAAATGTTTTGGTGTTTTACAAATGACTTTTCTCAGTTATTCACTGTAAATTGTAAACTTCAATAATGTTTGTTACAAATCTAAAAATTAAGAATTTGCAGTTATAAAATAAATATTTAAAAACTGTATATTTGAAAGGTTTCATGTACAGTTTATGTCTACACGAGCCAAATTTGCTTACTGATCAAAAAAGATCAAAAGCCTTAATACTCAAATTGAAACAATTACAGAAATTTTGTTAGATAAATTAGTAAATTTTGTTTTGATCGATACAAAATATTTTTGAAAAATAAATTCTCTTTACAATTTTAGTAAGGAAAAGATATATTACAGCGATAAAACGATAAATAAAGAATATGGAGGGAAAGTAATAGAAATGCAAATAGTTCTGTCAGTTTTCGAATTACATATATAGTAGTAGTAGTCAACTCTCT